TTGAATGATGTGAAAGAGGAAGTAAAGTGTGAAGAAGAGAAGCCAGAAAAAGGAAAAGAAAATGCTTCGTCAACGGACTCGAGCTCAGATGCAGATGAACCGAATGCTCATGACGGTCAAGACAATGAACAAAGGGATGGGTCAAAGGCCATTCGCAAGAAACTGAATGCGAAGGGCAAAAGAAAGAAGCGCGATGGTTCGAGAAAGCAGAACAGACGAAAGATTCCGAGGAATAAGGCGGCGAAGAAACGAAAGGAGCACAAGTGTCATGTGTGTGGTTATGTTACATCGCATAAAGGTCATCTCAATGTACACATTCGTATTCACACAGGCGACAGGCCATACAAATGCTATCTCTGCGAATTGAAATGTTTTGTCAAAGGCAATCTCAAACGTCATATGCAAGCAAAACACACCGGTGAACGTCGATTTCAATGCGATGTCTGTAAAAAGCGATTCACCCAGAAGTGTACACTCAATCGACATTTGGCACAGCATCGCGATCAGTTTCCATTTGAATGCATCAAGTGTGGTCGTGGATTTTCAACAGCAGCCGATAAAACAGCGCATGAAAAGGCTTGCGGTCATCGTCAATATCAATGCTACGTGTGCAAAGTTTTCAATTTGCAAAATACCAATTTACGCAATCACATGCGAGTCCATCATACAGGTGAAAAGCCATTCAGCTGCAAATGGTGCAAAAAACGTTTTTCGCACAAAAGCAATGCGGTCTCTCATATGAAGAAGCGCCATCATTCAACGGCATAATGATATTTGGCTATTTTCTACGGTCGACAAGTATCATACGAATCAACAACAACATGGGAAAAACAACAAACACCAATCGACTGGCCTGATATGGCGATCAAGTTCAACTTTGACCAAAATATTCAGAAATGCAACGAATTTTATTGAACATTTTTCGAATCTTCAGCTTTGATTTTCAACTGCTTAAGTTAAACAAACAAATTGAATGAAACTTTGAATTGAAAATCATCATTGGACACAATTCACCTCATGTCAACTTTGAATCGAATAAAATCACGCTTTCTTTTTTCAACCAAACCCTTTTTTTACATTTGATACTTCTTCTAGAGCCAGCCAGTTCTTGAATCTGATCAAA